GCCGGCAATCCATCGGCCCCGCCGCTTTTTTGTTTTTCAAGTGGGTAATTACTATTTGAACTTCTTCCTGGTCGAGCAATGGAACGTCTGCTCCATCGTCGTCGATTGGGAAATCGAGATCGCCTTCTATTGGCGTTGCGAGTTCACTGCCATTCAGCAGGCTGGAGAAGTGTTCCCTCCATAATTTAAGTATCATCTGGGCATCGGAGACTAGATCACCTTTGGGAGTTCTACAAGAGTATGCTCCGGTCTTGAAACCTTCTGTAAGCCGCCGCATTTTTCGTAAAATTTCGGCCAGCTCATCAAGCTCTTCGTACTCACGCATTTCGGCTTCTTGCTTTTAATGTCTGCAAATGCGTCTCGCTTCCCTCTTCAAGTCTCGGTATCTATCCCCTCCCGCACGTGGTGTGGTYGATMGTAGCGTTGCGAGGTAGGCAGCCTGTTTTCCCTCCGCTGCGACACGGCACTCCTCGTCGTACCAGCTGTTCTTTTGTACTTTCCGAAAACCAATGGTTTCGGTTGCAGCTGTACGTAAGGAGTTTGAAATGCCGTCCCACAGTTCCCTTGTACCGAGTTGTTGACGAGTGCTGTCAGAGAGCAGGAGTGCAAGCTGAGTAGAAAATCGTTCGGCTGTCTGTTGTGTCTCGATGTCGAACCTTCCTTGTGTTYGATGGCGTGCGTTTTTTGCTGCACAGAGGCAGGTGCAAATCTTGGCTGCAAAAAGATGGTGTTCCGAGTAGATGTTAGGACCTCGGAGCGCACGCACATCTAAAACACTGGAGACGTGTCTTCCGTCTACCACAACATGATCGATTTGGTTGGTGGTTTTTCGATCCGGAGACAGCCAAGTAGCTTGATGTATGTTCTTGTGCTGGAATCTTGTACCACATATAACCATATTTCGGACCCCGGCGAAGTCGATCAGCCTCAACCAGATCGTAGTGCCAAAAATACCTTCTTTGCTTACCCTGGCATGGATTTTGACATCGTGGCGGGGGCAGTTCTCATAAGTGCGCTCATAGAAAGCATCTTTGGTCACAACGTCCTTCCCTCGGGGCGTGGGCGCAAATCAACGATATGTTGAAGAGCCTCGCTACGATGCGGATTGTGTCTAGACGTTCATTCACCGGAGTAAATTATAGTACTCGGCGACGGAGTCTCTCTTCTACCACGAATCCCACACCAAACTTGAGCTCCTTTCTATGGACCTTCTCGTCTCTGTCCTTGTCCCACCCATCGCATTTCGTGGGCGGCGGTGATGTCAACTTTTATTTTCGGTATCTATCCCAGCTGGGCAGCGCCACCTTCCCAATTAAGAGACCGGACATTCCAGGTGCATACCCTCAATTCGTGGACCTCATCCGCGGCTTGTTGTTACTTTTCATTGCCAACACACATTTGGTGGGTCCCAAACCCAGTGCACAACCCTGCGGAGGCGATGTTTCGCCTTCTCACKGTAACTCGCCTTCAAACGGATGTTCTTGGGTCAGAGGATACTTGGCCAAAGACCGGAAGTCGTGAGCTTCTTTCGTCATATGTAAACGAATTGTTTCTGCCCACTCCCAAGTGAATGGCGATCAGGCAACTTTCCTCACTTGCGTGAACGTCTACACATGACTCCATCCTCCCGCCCTACATATATAAATATATTAATATCCACTTTCTATGTTTATTTTACAGTTGAATATTTCATTCGAATTGCTCTATTGAAGCCATTCGGAAAGCAAACCAAATGCGTTAAATTCACCCCACTTGATCGATGACAAATATTGAAATCTTATTTAAAAAWTAGGCAATTTATTATAAAAGCGGGAGATTGCATATCTGAGAAACGACAKATAACAGCTGGCCTACCACAGGGCAGGGGTTTAAGCCCAATTCTATACATCATATGCACAGCCGTTCTTTTGACAGGTAATAATGAATTGACATCAACTTTTGCGGATGACACCGCTTTAGTGAACTGTAACAAATTCCACATATCAGGCGTGTTTTATTTGACCAAAAAAATTAAGCTATTTAACTTATTTTGTATGGAAGACTTAGCCACGTAATAATGTTGGCCTGTCATAAGCTATCATAGATACAATAGCTATGATTTTTCCATAAAAAGTAGTTGGCAATGAGAATAAAGTTCATTTTGATAGATGACAATGTAAACAAACGAAATTTACAAAATTTTGTATTTTGTTCAAGTTATTTGTATTAAATATGAACATTTGTTATAGTTTCTTTCAATTAATATCATCAAATGAAAAAAAGAAATATATTTATATATTAATTTAATATCCCGTTTATAAATTGAAGAATTCAAACTAACCTCCAAATCAGACATTTAAAAAATAATTGAATATCAGCTGGCCGCTCCCGCACGCATTGCCAACACACATTGTTTTTAAGTGAAAATAAGAAATGTGCTGAGTCGTTTTATTTGTTATCAGCTTCTGGTGGTCAAATAAAACAGGCCTACTATAATCAACAATAYTTTCCGAACACTTAAATTCTGTCGAAGAAGGCTAGTCATACTCGCGTATAAATGTGAATGAACAAAAGTGTAAGCATGTTACATTTTCGCTTGAACCAAAAATGTGCCGGCAGTTAACAATATTTTAGTACCCCAAGCGAATGAAGTAACTTAACTTGGTATACGTCATATATGGTATATACGCGCATTGTATTTCCGATAGTCGATATATATTAATCTGAGAATCAATGCAAGGGGAAGGGCCGTAATAAAAGTTAAAAAAAAATAAAAAGTTATTCGAGCGTGTCGGATTTTCAAAGCGAATGTTAATGAACCTCTAAAAAGTGTGCCATTTAAATTTCTGACAAGTTTAACGTGAAAAAAAAGTCAAAACCGATTTGAAAATTTGTAAAAAAAAAATATGACCTTGAGATACTCGAGCGCGTAAAATTTTTATGCAGGGGGATGAACTTGATATCAGTGTCTTCCCAAACGATAATCTGATAATCCTTTTGTCGACGATTTTACCTGTATCGCCCCATGGAAACTGTCAGATCATAGGATTTTCATGATTCTGATAGAATTACCTGTAAAATTATAAAAAAAAATCTATCGCGCTCGAGTATTTTAAGGTGACGCAGAAGTCTGTCTCGTAATCCCTTCTCGCATCCATTTGTCGGTAGCCCTACTTCTTTTAACATTTCTTTTAACATTGTCTCTGTCTTGTTTAATATAGTCTGGGCATCCATTTTGAGTACTTTTTTACAATTATGCCATACAATAAATGGTATAAGTACTATATATGGTCTTATATGATAATGTTAATTTCAGAAGACTTAATAATAAAAGTAACCTGTAACCTTCGTTGTACCACGAACTGCCCAATCAAACAAGCTGTTCGAATTGTGCTGCTGACGATGAACATACGCTGCCGTCGCCAACACAGTTTTCACCGCTTCACGCCGACTCTGTAGTTTCTGATGCGCTATTGCGGCGCAACTGTTTCGCTGGATATCTCGTATGCCGAAACGAACTGCAA